AGCGTTCCACTTCCGCCAGAACTAATTTTAACGCGCTGGAGCACGTGGCTATGTGCAGCGAGTTAGTATACCGAACATTTAGAAACAGTTAGGAATGTCGTGAACACATTTGATCCCAAAAGTGCAGCATCAATTCAAATTGCCCAAGATGTACTAAAAAGCGCAGAACTAGAAACTAATCTTTCCTATATATCTGCTCACTTCTCTCATCTTCCATTCGCCATTTCCTCACTGGAGGCAAGCAATAGCAATAGTACTTTGTATCAGACGTTAAGTGGGTTCAAAACCACTGTTTCCAAATTGCATTCGGTTCCTGGAAGAGTTGGTGAAGTAGTAAAAGGAAAAGTAGACAGCATTCTTTCAAAAAATCCAGGATATGAACAAATTTGTGAAATTGAAGAAACTTTAGCCGGTAAACGTACTGAACTGCGAAGTAAAAAGTCACTAACAGTGGAGCAAATAGCGATTTTTGTACATGCGCTCCTAAGTTCCTGTGAGGTAGAAAGAAGTTTTACCCACTCTAAGGACATTTTACAAGACAATAGGAGGCGATTAACTATGGAAACCCTAAAATATATAGTAATTGTGAACTGCAACAGAAGAGAAGTTGAAAGTTCGGAGAGCTAAATGTGAGTACCATTGGTTTTTTAAATCTGTAATTAAATATGTTGGCTTTGTTGCATGATTTGTATTTAAGTATAGCTTTTTATTGCAAGTGAATCATTCAGTGATTACATAAAATGAACTTAAATATTGATTTGTTGGTCCTAAAATAATGTAAAATCAATTTTAATATTCGGTATAAATTTTTATGTCCACATTTTAGTGCATAATTCGGAAGATTTTCATGCATAAGTGCAACATATTTAAGCGATTATTATGGCATAAAAATGCGGTCCCTAATTATGACAAATGACTTGCTACTACAGACAATGACTCTGACAAAAGACAGACCCGTCCACTCGTCAGAGAAGGCACCCCACAATAACAAGATCTAAACCGTCAAACAGTAATACAAATATATGTATATCTGGTCATGAGCCCCACATAGGGCTCGACATCAAGACTGACTGACTGACTGACTGACTGACTGACCGTCAGTCGCAATGTGACTTTGACTCTTAACAGAGGATACCCGTGTGGAGGCGGGGTCGAATACCTCCATCGTAACTCGGCGAGTCGTAGGAGGCGGCGAACAGAGACGTCTCAAATCTGAGATAGTAAAATATGGGCGCGAGTCCCATGGGACTCGGACCCGAGAAAGACTGCGCTGGATAGTGTCAGCAGCACATATAAAAGTCAGACCCACCCTCTCGTCAGAGAAGGCGCCCCACAAAAATAAGACCATAACTGTCAAACGGTAATAGATATCTGGTGAAGAGCCCCAGATAGGGCTCGACATCAAGGCTGACTGACTGACTGACTGACTGACTGACTGACCGACCGTCAGTCGCAATGTGACCTTGACTAACATAGGTTTCATCAGGCTTTCAAGGCAATTCAGTATTTGAAGTGTTGAAGACTTTATGTGTTATATAGCAGTGACCTTGAGAGTGTTATGTTTGCGTTTCATAGATACAGTAGTCTAAAGAATTGTACTTATAGTTGGGACTGGTGAAGGTCCGATAAATCGATTCATCTGGTCCAGATCTCGTCAACTGTTCGTCAGGCTAAACCTTACACGTGACATATGAATAAACCAAGGCAAAACGGAATCGATATGTTACGAAACTGGTTATGTTTACTTTAAAGAAGTCTTTACGATTTATGCAATCGACATGATATTATTAAATAGGCGTAGAAGAAAAGTGTAAACATGAAGTGTACGTCGCTATTCATTGGTACTACGCCTCAAGGTAACATAACTCCCGTAATACTATACAAGAAACAAGAGGAGGAGATGCAAATATTCTTAACCCGAAAGATAGTATTCTTCATAACCACCGCTGCGAGGCTCTCAACTCCTGCATTATTAACACCTTACACACTGAATCTTATTCACTAAAATTGTCGTGATGACTGAAACATATGGCTCATGAAACGACAGATTAATTAAGACAGGAATAATAGGCCAGGAACATATATTTTTTTATTTACAGTGTTAACCACCGAAGTTTCTTCGAAATAAAAATGTCGAATAGGTTGAAGTCAACGTATAGTAAAGTTAGTGTAGGTAAATATTTGTCTGATAAATTTCCTATCCAGAATTGTCTAAAACAAGGAGACGCTTTATCGCCACTCCTTTTCAACTTTGCCTTAGAATATGCAATAAGGAAGGTCCAGGGAAACCAGGTGGGACTGAAACTAAACGGGACACATTAGCTGTTGGTCTACGCCGATGATGTGAATCTGCTGGGTGATAATGTGGTACCATAAAGGAAAACACACAAACTTTAATTGACGCAAGTAAAGAGGTTGGTCTAGAAGTAAACACAGAGAAAACTAAGTATATGTTACTGTCTCGTCACCAAAATGCAGGGCAAAATCATAACATAAAGATAGGAAACAGTTATTTTGAAAATGTGCACAGTTCAGATATTTGGGAACAACGATAACAGATCGAAACCTGATTCAGGAAGAAATTAAAAGGCGATTGAACTCGGGTAATGCTTGCTACCATTCTGTCCAGAACCTTTTGTCTTCTCGTCTGTTGTCCAAAAACATAAAAATTAGAATATACAAAACTATAATTTTGCGTGTGGTTCTGTATGGGTGTGAAACTTGGTCTCTGACATTAAGGTAGGAACATAGACTGAGGGTGACTGAGAACGGGGTGTTGAGGAGAATATTTGGACCGACGAGAGATGAAATCACAGGAGGTTGGAGACAACTGCATAATGAGGAGCTTCATAGCTTGTACTCTTCTCCAAGTATAATTGGAATGATCACGTCAAGGAGGATGAGGTGGGCAGGTTATTTGGCACGAATGGGCGAGACGAGGAATGCGTATAGGATATTGGTGGGAAAGCCAGAAGGAAAGAGACCACAGGGAAGACCAAGGCGTAGTTGGGTGGACAATATTAGAATGGATCTTTGAGAGATATGATGGGATGGTATGGAATGGATAGATCTGGCTCAGGATAGGGACCAGTGGAGGGTTCTTGTGAACACGGTGATGAACCTTCGGCTTCCATAAAATGCTGGGAAATTCTTGAGTAGCTGCAGAATTGGCGGCTCCTCAAGAAGGGCTCAGCTCCATGAGTAAGTAAGTAAGTAAGTAAGTAAGTATAGGTTGAACTCGAGACCAAATGTGGGTGAGTGCTCAATTTCACGTTCTGACTGTTTTATCTAAAAAAAAAAAGAGAGAGAGAATCCGGTAATAGTCTGGACCGGATATTGTGAGGGAAGAGACAAAGTGTTCTTACAGGTAACGTAGCCCAGACCCGCCCATGCCATATCCTGTTACTCCACTGAGCTGTTAGACTTCTTGGCACAGTGGTGAATATGAAAATCTTGAGACTTTTTGTCCTCAAGGTGGCTAATTATAATACTATATTTTACTGGTAGATAGCTATAAATGTTCCGGAGGAGACTACCGCTTCAATGTTCAAGAAAGAACATCTTTTACCATGAAGATGGAGGGAGCAATTTTCTCCAAATGTTGGCGCCTAAATCTTTAGGGTAGAAGATTTTTCTTCCAATGATGGAGGGAGCAGGATCATCTCAAACGCTGACGTGTCCAGGTTTAGTGTAGAATGAACTGAAGATTGAGGCACCATTTCCCCTGAAATATTCCTGCTGCAAATTAGTCTGCAGCCACCTGCTCACGCTGGTTCCTGACTTGCGGATTTTCCCTTTCTTTTTCTACCCTGAAGCTTCAGGCGATACGTTCCACCGAAACGTCGGTTTATACAATATCTACACGGCGCCGCATCTCAGAAGACGGTAGTCTACATTGTCAGATCGTTAAACTCATGAACTGAACGAGAGATGCTCTCCTGTTACGTATATCCTGACGATTCTTCGCGTTCATCACAAAAGACCGCCGGGAAGCCAATTCACACATAATTTCCTGAGACAGAGTTCTTCTTTAGAAGCTGATAATCACCTGCCTGCTCAATAAGTCCCTGCCTTATATGGAACTAATGTCTTTTTACTGTGTGTGTAAGACCTTAGTCTGTGTCATTCTAAACAAGTCCACAACCCAGAGTAGTTGGTACAGCGACTAACTACGGGCTGGACGACCGAAGAACCGGATTTCGAGTCTCGTTATTGTCAAGAATTTTCTCTTCTCCACTTCGTCCAGACCGGCACAAAGACCCACGCAACCTCCTATACAATGGGTACCCGGGCGAGAAGCTGACTACTGACCTCAAGCTAGTGCCGAGGTCAAGAAAATATGGATCTATACATCCACTCTTCCATACGCCTTCGAAGCCTAGTGCTTAATTAGTTAAGCACAGGAACAACTTTATCTCTACCGCGACCCATGCACAATTCATGTAAGATTTGTTTCAATAGCGTCCTCCCACCAGGTCTCCTCTCTTCCGTTACTTTTATTTAAAAGTGTGAACAATTTTCTTTCTCGTATGGGCTGTATGTTCGACCAGGTTGGCCTAATTTCACAATCCTTATAATATTTGTTGAATGATAAAAATTTTGAAGTTCCTCATTATATTATATCCCCATACACCTGTTACTTATTCTCTTTTATGTCCAACATTTCACTATTTTGTGCTCAAACACTCACAGTTTGTGTTTTTCTCTTTCGGTGAGAGACCAAATTTCATATCCATACAAAACAAGTGAAATTTTGGTTGGTATTAATTTCAAATTAGACTTAGGCGCTCCAAAATTTCTCCGATGCCATTCCAAACCAACCTTTCATACATATGCATTACATACGTCGTGCCCATGATATTTCTTAAATCACTGAACCTATCGATATAAGATGTATGACAGAGTAAGTGTTCACCCCAAATTTACGTAAACATTACTTAGTTCATGTCTGCAATATATCCCACCCATCTGCTTTGTAAATAAACTGTACTATATTTCAGGATGTATATGGAGATGTACAGATGCAGTGTGTGTACTGGAATCGGATTTTGGGTTCAAATTGAACTGCGCCTTCAAGAAATCTGGTTTGTTCCGAGTGCGGAATCTGGGTGGCGTCAAGGGCTACGTCGGTGTCGGTACGTTCTTCTAACCTGTTACTATGTGGCATCTGGTTGTAACAGCTCTGTTAGACAGTCTCTGCATGCTGTGTGAATGTTGGCACAGCTCTGTTATACAGTCTCTGCATCCTGCATGAATGTTGGTACAGCTCTGTTATACAGTCTCTGCATGCTGTATGAATGTTGGCACAGCTATTATACAGTCTCTGCATGCTGAATGAATGATGGCACAGCTCTGTTATACAGTCTCTTCATGCTGTATGAATGTTGGCACAGCTATTATACAGTCTCTGCATGCTGAATGAATGTTGGTACAGCTCTGTTATACAGTCTCTGCATACTGTATGAATGTTGGCACAGCTATTATACAGTCTCTGCATGCTGAATGAATGTTGGCACAGCTCTGTTATACAGTCTCTGCACGCTGTATGAATGATGGCACAGGTCTGTTATACAGTTCTGCATGCTGTATGAATGTTGGCACAGCTATTATACAGTCTCTGCATGCTGAATGAATGTTGGTACAGCTCTGTTATACAGTCTCTGCATACTGTATGAATGTTGGCACAGCTATTATACAGTCTCTGCATGCTGAATGAATGTTGGCACAGCTCTGTTATACAGTCTCTGCATGCTGTATGAATGTCGGCACATCTGTTATACGGTCTCCACATTCTGTATGAATGTTGTCACAGCTCTGTTATACAGTCTCTGCATGCTGTATGAATGATGGCACAGGTCTGTTATACAGTCTCTGCATGCTGTATGAATGATGACACAGGTCTGTTATACAGTTTCTGCATGCTGTATGAATGTTGTCATAGCTCTGTTATACAGTCCCTGCATGCTGTATGAATGATGGCACAGCTCTGTTATACAGTCTCTGAACGCTGTATGAATGTTGTCATAGCTCTGTTATACAGTCCCTGCATGCTGTATGAATGATGGTACAGCTCTGTTATACAGTCTCTGAACGCTGTATGAATGTTGGCATAGCTGTTATACGGTCTCCACATTCTGTATGAATGACGGCACAGGTCTGTTATACAGTCTCGGCATGCTGTGTGAATGTTGGCACAGCTCTGTTACACAGTCTGTGCAAGCTGTATGAATGTTGGCACAGCTCTGTTATACAATCTGTGCAAGCTGAACGAATGATGGCACAGCTCTGTTATATAGTCTCTGCATGCTGTATGAATGTTGGAACAGCTCTGTTATATAATCTGTGCAAGCTGTATGAATGTTGGCACAGCTCTGTTATACAATCTGTGCAAGCTGTCTGAATGTTGGCACAGCTCTGTTATACAATCTGTGCAAGCTGTACGAATGATGGCACAGCTCTGTTATACGTGTATAGTCTCTGCATGCTGTGTGAATGTTGAGACAGCTCTGTTATGCAGTCTCTGCATGCTATATGAACGTTGGCACAGCTCATTTACTCAGTCTCTTCGTTGTATATAAATTCAAGGCACTAACACACATTCTGTGTAAGCTGTATGAATGTTGGCACATTATTATACATTCTCTGAATGCTGGCTGAATTTTTCCACCTATTCGTTTCTGTGTTTCGAGCTAATTATGTAAGAAATTTTAATTCGCAGTTCAATTTTTAATGAAACCTCTCAATTTTTTCATTTGTTCTATTTTCCATGCTTGTTTAGACATACATGGCCAACGTCAGGGACTCTAAAATTGGTTCGGTGAAGCCAATGCACGCTATGCGCAACTATAAGACTTTTTATCATTCAATTCTTAACTCTGATGTATAGTTTTCTTTTGTGAGGTGTGTATGTTAGTGACAGCTATATTTTTTATGCTGTGTGTATTTCATGCGCAACTACACAAGACACACACACATACAAGTAAAATACACACAGCACATCACTCTTTGCTCTTCTCAGTCTTCTTTTCTTATTTTTCTGTTTGCCCCCTTCTCCACCTTATATTTTTCTCATTCCCAACCTCTTTCGTTTGTTTCTTCTTCTTCTCCCCCTCCGCATTCCCTTCTGGCTTCTCATTGTAATTCATTCCTTTCTTTCTCCTCTTCATCTATCATTTTTATTTTCATAAATTTGCTAGTTTCTGTGTTGAGATCAGTTGCTAGGAGACGACCAGTGGAAACTGAGAATCCTAGTGCGTGTGCAACGGTGAACTGTAAATTGTGTAAATCTTCGAATTATAATCTCTTATAATTAAGAGAAATTGTAATCGATGTGCTAATAAATCAAATAATCGGAATTAGAACCCGCTTTTTGTCACACGTACCCTCCTAAAGCTGACATTTTGGTGTCAGAAGAAGGTTGCTTGGATCGTATTGGATTCTTCAGCAGTGGTTACGACCGTAAATACGCGACAATTTGGTGTCACTAGTCACGCAGCCATAAACTCGTGACAGTTGGAAACGGCGGAAGAAGTTACGTGTATATTGCATTGGATCGAAGACAGAATTGGAGCAAGCGAGGAAATAAATAAGGGAAATGATGGCCGAAATTAAGATGGACATAAAAGCAGGCAACACAAGTTTGATGCCTTTGATGAAATGATGGAAAGAAGAGAAGCTGAAAGAAAAGCCTACAAAGAGAAGATGATGGCTGAGTGGAAAGCCGACTTCGAGAAGAAGATAGACAAGAGGAAAGTCGCCTGAGAAGATGTGGCAGCAAGGCTAGAAGCCATTCACGATACGACAGACGCCAATGAGATGAGACTGGAACGCGAAACGGATCATCAAGAGAAGATGGATGCAGATCTAAAAGAAATAGAAGGGTCAACGGAGCCATCAGAGCAGAAATGAAAGCCATCCAAGCAAAAGCAGATCCCGACCAACAGCACATGCATGAAATGATGAGAAGGAACAAAGAAAGGATAGAAATCAAGATAAACGCCGTCCAAAGGAGGAGGACGCCAGTCTAAGGGATATCATGGTAGGAATGAAGGACGGCCGGCCAAGAAGCGAGGGAGTACAGTCCAGAGAAGATGAGCCAAATGATCGCGCGATAGCCATATTGGAACAGATGATAGCCATGAAGATAGCTAATCGAGAAAACACGGAAGCTACGGATTTGAAAGCAAATCCAGAGGGAATGGAATGCGAGTCGGAACATCGGGAGGTCCCTAAGGAAGTTACCATAGTAGAATTGGTCAAAGGATGGAAGAAGCGGTATAGGGGGCCGGAAGCTAGCTGCTGGGCGACGCAGAGAGCCAAAGGAACTGACACTAAGTGACTGTGGATCCGAGAGGAAGTTGGCTGCCGCCTGCAGGAAGGTGTTCCGTCGTGCATCAGGGACACGGCGCAAGAGAAACGTCTTCAGGAAAATTCGGACCCAGGGAAATTGTGGACCGCGGAACTACTTGGCCGCAGCCGGCAGGAGCATGACCCAAAGGCAAAAGTGGCACGGCGCAGGGGCCACGATCGCAAGAAATACGGCCAGGACAGTGTGGTACAAGATACTCAGAAAGGAACGACATTCGGGAAGAGGCGTTGGAAGTGCGTGGAATGCAACAATGGCATAAGGAACCGAGGCCTAGGACAGCAGATAAGAGTAAGGAAGCGAATAAAGAACAGACAGACAGACGGCCGCTATGACCGAGGAAGGAGAGGACAAGAATTATCGTTATCGGAGAGAGGGGTTCAGGAGAATGGTCGCACTTGGGAAAATGGAGAAACGCTCAAGAAGATTCTATATAGGATGTTCTGAGGGAAGATCGCGAAAGTAGTCGGACCTTCCAACTGTTTAGGAAGAATGAAGGACTGAACATTATGTAGGGGTCGGACCCCTCCGAAGCGGAAACAGATGCAGCGTAAGGAGAGCCAGGTATGTGGGAACACCGGCCACTACAGGAGTTATGGTCCTCCGTAGGAAAGAGAAAAAAAAATAAGATAACTTTTGGATGATGGTTACAACCTGAACTGACTGAAATCTTATAAGGGAACTGCTTGAGAAGAGCTGGCCTTAAGGAGGGAGCAGTGGTAGCGGTTTGAGAGCAGCCACCGGAGAGAGCGTGAGAAAGAACAACTTGCAGGAAGACGTTGAAAGCACAGACCTCGGGAAGGAAGAAAAGAGGGTGCACCGATAGAATCCTCTGGACGAGCGGCCTTAAGGAGGAGAAATGTAACAGATTTCATCAACGCGTTGCCAGGCAACAGCTCTGTAAACACGGTCCAACATGCAACATATGATGATGCTGTGTTTTCTATGTTGTCCGTTGCCGAGCAGGGCAGGACAAAGGGTTATGCAACCCGCTTTTAGACAACGGTTCGGTAAACTCATTCCCGCATATCAGACGCTATGAAAGCGGTAACGTCTTCAAAAATGGAGACGGTGTTTTCCGTAGAGTCTGTGCAGATTGCTTATAAGGGAATTGAATGCAGAAGCAAGTTCAGTTCAAGGCAGTTACGAGTCAGTCGTAAGATGGAGGAGTGAGTCCAGAAGAATCTTTAATTATTAGGTTCCAGAGTGACTGAAGACGAACTAGCAAGAAGACTTCAGAGTGATTTGAAGTGCTAATTTCTGTGTTGAGATCCGTTGCTAGAAGACGACTGGTGGAAACTTAAAATCGTATTCCGTGTGCAAAGGTGAAGTGGAAAGTGTGTAATTCAGCAGTAGCACTGTATTATTTGTAATTAAGAGAAATTGTGAACGAATTGCTAATAAACCCAATCATCCGAACTAGAACGCGTCATTTTCGCCACGCGTACCACCATACACGTGATATTAAATGTCCCATATATTTTGACATTCGAGTCTTATAATCGTGTATTCCTATATTGATTGCTGGTCCTTTGTGAATTTATTCTTGCGAATTCTATTCTTCTTCCTCTCATGATATTGTCGCGTATCGGGCGTATATCGCGACAAACAACTTCACGCCGTATTTGATATAGCGAATTTTATTTCACATTCGCTCATACAATCACACAAATTACAGATTTACGATTACTGCTATCTGCAGTATCACAATTAGTACACTCCAAATGCCACAATACAACTGACTGGCTGACTGTCACAGTACAACTCCCG